CATTTATGGTAAATGTTTTTACCACTTTTATTAGGTACAAAAAAAAATTATCCCTTTGTGGATAATTTATCATATTTGTGAATATTTTTATCACATTTATAAATATTTTTATCACTGTTGTGATAATTATTTTACTATTTTTTTAGTACAACCATAGTGATAAAAATATCTATATATATATAAAATAAATTGAGCTATGGTACTGAATTTTTCTTCAAACCATAGTCAAATCGACCCTTTTGACTCCCATTTTGAACCAAACCGAACCTATTTTCAGTCTTTCACTATTCCCCCTCAACTCCCCCCCCCAAAAAAAAAAAAAAAAAAAAAAACCCACCCAAAATAACATCCAGAAGTCGTAGTAGAAAGTTTCGCAGGAGCCTTCCTTCATCACAAACTAATAATCTCAATTTGCCAACAACTTTGCATACAACTTATCTAGTTTTTAAATGATGGTTCTTTTCCAAACAATTCATGGAAGGCCCACATGTGCTGGTTATTGTCAAAAGTCACATAATCCATAAGCTTTAATTATTCAGACAACTGACAGGAGACTATCAATATATTTTACATGAAAGAATATTAGTAAATTGACACCGTTTATTTCGTAACGGTGATACAATATTAGCATTATCATACAATATCAACAATCCAAAATTTCCCCCTGGAAAAAAAAAACTGGAATGGACAAAATTTTCCAAATCCTCATTCGCATAAAATAATTTTTAGATGTGGAGTGTTGCGACAAAACTTTTTTTCTTATTAGATGTTTAGATTTGTGTTGACTATTCGCTCCGACTCAGCGATGGCCACCGTAGTTTAAGTCCAGATAGAACATGTTTGTAAAAAATAAGGATGACTAGCTCTTAATAGGTATGAGAATGAATTAAACTTGAAACTTTTGAGTTTACTAAAAGTTAAACTCAATCACTAAATCACCCTTAAAAATTAATATTTTATTGAACTTAAAATTTTAATTTTATGTGCTAAAATGATAATGTATCAAGCGTATTTCACTTGGACCATGTATATCATCGGCATATCATCAAATTCACAAATTATATTTAATTCTGTTGAGCACTTCAATAGAGATTTAATTTAATACATCAATTAGATTAGTTGAAAGTTTTAAAATTAAATAGAACTTACTTTCAATTTAATGGCAACGATTGATTATATCATTCGATTAACTCTCGCATCTAAATCGCATTGTCTAATTTTTAAAGAGTAAAATTATTGGGATCTAAAAAATTGATCTAATTTACTCACATAATGATGTGTCAAGTGATGAAGTCTCAATAAAAAAATCAAAGAGTTGCAGTCACAACAATGTTATTGAACAATGACAACAATGTTATTGAACAATGACACTTCATATCAACAAATTAAATTCATTTTTTATAATCTCAATAACATTACTAATTTTTGAATAGAAATTATAAAATACCCCCTTTTAACTTTGAATAGTTCATAGCTTACTCATTCAGGTTTTAATTTCAAAAAATAGTCTCATTTAAGTTTGAATATCTTACAATTAACTCCAATAGTTATTTTTAGACAATAAAAATTGAGAAAAGTTAGACATATCAAATTCAAGTGCTTCCTATTTTGTTGAAAAGAGATAATTACTCTTACATCTACTTTTCCCTTGTACCAAATATTCATACTTTCCATTTTACCCTTACACCTTTCCATCTTCTGTAGTCTCGGATGGTTAGCTCTCATTCCTTTCCCTTTTCTTGTAGACATCCTTCCCTTCCTTGTGATGAGTTAGAGGCAAAGGTTTTCTTATTTTTTTAATCTTGATTTTTCATTTTACTTATTTTTTAGGGGCAAAATTGGTATCTCAAGAAAAAAATATGAGAAATACAAGGCAGAGGGTGTGATAATTCTTTTAGGTGTTCAACCATTCACTTTAGTCAATTTAATCTATTTGAAACTTGGAAGAGACAGATTACAGGATTTAAAATTATAAGGAGTTAATTATAACAAAAAACATAGTTAGAGGGGACATACTGTAAATAAGACTTCTTTTATTTGCCATTTTGAGGAGAAATTTTTGAGATTTAGATCCCCTCAAGTATTCCTTCCTTTCAATTTCACTTAATGCTGTGTTAGATGAGTGATTTGTGTAAAATTTTGAATTTTAATGGACAAGATTATTTTTCATTCATTTTATTTTTGGTGGAGTGTTAACCATTATTAAAAAAAAATTCATAAAGAAAAATAAAAATTATTCATTAAAATTCAAAATTTTACACATATCAATATATTAAGAAAAATTTAAAAAATAAGTAATAGAGGAGATTCGAATCTAAATTTTTGTATAAGTACACACACCAACGTGACTGACACAAGTGGTGTGCATTATCTAAGAAATGCTTGCCCACTCATCAAATGTCGTACGGAGGAAATTTTTCATGACATCACTTCTTTAAAATGTCGGAGGAATTTTTAAAGAAGCTATGTCATGAAAAGGCCTTTACATGACATGGCTTTTTTACATAGTACCACTATGCTGATTATTAAATTCAGAGTTTAAATAATATGATAGTATATTATTTGAAATTTTTAAATTCAGAGTTTAATTAATATGATAGTATATTATTTGAAATTTTTAATGAAATTCAAATGACATGACATTAAATAAAAAAATTTAAATTAACTATCATATCATTTAAACTCTATATTTTATCTTAAAATTTGATAGTGTCAGAGAAAATTATAAAGAAATCGAGTAATGCTAGACTGATCAAAATTTGGGATTAAATTTAGAGTTCAAATGACATGTCAGTTGATTATTTGAAATTTTTATTAGGACTCAAATGACATGACATTAATTCAAAAAAACTCAAGTCAACTGCCATGTCATTTGAATTCTAAATTTAACCCTGAAATTTGGTCAGCATTATTGAAAGAAACCATGTCATGAAAATGATATTAGGACTTTATTTGGGAACCTAATGATGTGGCTTCAATGCAACTATTGAATTAATTGTGAGTTCTAATGTTAAATGGAATTCATAATTAATCCAATAATTGTATTAAATTAAATTCTTAGATTAAATTCCAAAATTAAGTTGAAATAGCATTTTCCTTTCGTCACACGGCTTCTTTAAGATTTCCTCTGCCATTTGATGAGCGGGCAAACATTCAATTCATGACATGGCTTCTTTAAAATTTCCCTCCACCAAACGCCAGTATATATAGCCGAAACCCATAGAGCTCAAAGACATTTCTGCGAAACAAAGTCATGGCTGATATTTGCATTGAAGTCCGGAACTTCTTCCAAAAGGCAAAAAGGAACATTCTTGCTTACCCTCCAGTCCTCCTACTTGCTTTGGGAGTTGCCTCTGCTTTAGTGTCTTCCTTCCACCTCATGAGTACTAGCTTTTTCAGAGCCAACATGGGTTCTGGTTTTGCCAAAGCTTACTTAGCTATAGCATTGGCCGTGGTTTTGGGTTCCTTTCTCTTCTCTGGCAGGGCTCGAAAGAGCGAAATCATACAACATGAGTATGGTTGGTTTGGTAAAGCTTTGGAAAACTCATTCATGGTAGTTCTTACCAGTGTGATGTCCCTCTTCCATGAAGATACCTACCATGCTGTCGTTGCCGAATTGTGTTTGGGCTTCATGTTTCTGTCAATTGTTCATATGCTCCGCCCGAAGACTGACTTTGGGTTTGTGAGCTTTTTCCCAAGTCTTGCTATGACTACCGTGTGGCAGAAGTACCCTTTCGGCAACACGGGCTGGCTCGTCTTCTTCGTTGTGATTGTCTTCGCATGGACTCATAATTGGCTGGAAAAGTGGGAAATGGAGGCGGCAACCGCCGAGGATGACGGTGACCATGACGGCGTCGTGGCACTGGAGAGTCTCCCGAATTAAACCTCAGGCGCAGTTGGCAGTTTGGAGTGCTTTCGGACAGATCTAGATACCCTCCGATATATATATATTTTTTTATTTTTCCTCTTGATAAATCACCTATTAGTAAGAAACCCACTAGTACAAAAAAAATACACTGAAGCAACAGTCTAAAAGTAAATAAGTGTAAGTTTTACGTGTATATGCTGATAATCTGTATTAAGATATACTGTATTGTATGGTTATGAACTGGTTGAANTTTTTTTATTTTTCCTCTTGATAAATCACCTATTAGTAAGAAACCCACTAGTACAAAAAAAATACATTGAAGCAACAGTCTAAAAGTAAATAAGTGTAAGTTTTACGTGTATATGCTGATAATCTGTATTAAGATATACTGTATTGTATGGTTATGAACTGGTTGAAAAGATGGTAGGAAATAGCGGTTTCGTGGTGGCTAATGATACCATGGAAGTTTATGTACATTCTCCAGGAATGTTAGAACTACCAAATTTTAGGACCGAATAATGTGGCAAATTCATCCGATCAATAAGGCAGTGTTGGGTTTCATATTTGTTGGGTAAGAGAGGCTGTCACATTATTTGGACCACAAATTTTGGCTCCAAATTTCAGTAAGGTTCGCACAGTTGTTATTCCCTTAAACGGTGTTTAACTTGGATCATGCCCTTGTTGCCCCCAAAACTGCGTAAATATGTCTCTCTAACAAAGTTTATAGTAAATCTTAGAAGATAACATAATTTGTGGAATTCAACTGAAGTTTAGAACTGCAGTGTAATGATGGTCAGAGAAAAATCCGACTCCAAACCAAAGGGGGGCAAAGAGGGAGAATTGCAATTTTATTGAAATTACATGATGTTTTTCAGAAGAGGATACACCCACAATCACACACGATACAACAGGTCTAACCAACAATCTCATATCTGGCTAGAAAAGATTAACAATCATACAGTTTCTTAACAAGAGGAAAACACTATTGTCAATAACAAAATATTGAAGACGAGAAAGAAAGGATTTCTCGGAGCAACCCCCTAGGTTCCAGAACCAGGAGTCAACTTTCCCGAATGAGCATTCAGTCCATGTATTAGTCCATGGAAGAGTGAAAGAGTCACCACTACTGAGGTTAGAGTTGACGGAAAACCTTCTCAGCAGCTGCTATTGTTTGTTGGATATCCTCAAAAGTATGCGTTAAGCTAGTAAATCCAGCCTCAAACTGGGAGGGTGCAAAGTAAACACCTTCCTCCAGCATTCCTCTATAAAAACTTGCAAACTTTGAGGTGTCACTCTTCTTCGCATCCCCAAAGTTATAAACAGGCACTTCGTTGAAAAAGAATCCAAACATCCCACTTACATACTCNGCAGTAAGGGTCTGTGCGTGCAAGATTCTGCACAATATAAAAAACGAGAACAGATCTCTCCCCTAGTGAACTTCGAGTGAACCGGTTGAGTGACCAACCACGCTGCTTGGGATAGCCTGCGAGGTCCGGTGGTAACCTGGAACGGGAACGAGAGACCCTAGGGGAGTGGAAGAACGATCCAGTAAGGCTGAAAGGGGTTCCTGGAACAAAGAAGAACAAGTTAGAAGGGCGCCGGAGTGTTTTTCGGCGTATCCCCTCCGACGATCTAGTCAGTCTTTGAGAGAGAGAGAGAGANTCACCACCACGTATTGCATGCCCTGCCTTCTTTCCAGCATCCAAAATACCCAGAATAAGTTCACTTGTGATCTTATTTAAGTAGTCATAACTTCCTGGCTCCTTCAGCCTCTTGAGAGTTTGAATTCCTGCAGTCATTGCCAGTGGGTTTCCACCGAGGGTCCCCGCCTGGTACATTGGTCCCGCTGGTGCCGCCATCTCCATAATCTCCCTTCTTCCTCCATATGCACCGACTGGAAACCCACCTCCAATAATCTTCGCGATTGTAGTTAAATCAGGAGTTATGCTAAAATACTCCTGAGCTCCACCATAAGACAAACGAAACCCAGTCATAACTTTATCAAAGATGAGGAAAGCATCGTTTTCTTTGGTGATATTGTGAAGAGCATTGAGAAAATCAGGTTTGGGTGCAATGAAGCCAGAGTTTCCGACAACAGGCTCAAGGATAAGTGCAGCAACTTCTCCTTTGTGCGTCTCAGAGATTTTCCACAGTTGCAATGTCGTTGAAAGGGGATGTTAGTGTTCCATAAGTAGCTCCTTTGGGAACACCAGGGGAGTCAGGGAGTCCAAGGGTAGCAACCCCACTGCCTGCCTTAACAAGGAATGGATCCGCATGGCCATGGTAACAACCCTCAAACTTGATGATTTTCTCTCAGCCAGTGAAGGCATGGGCTAACTGGAGCACACCCATGCATGCTTCTGTGCCAGAGTTGACAAACCGAACCATCTCGATACTTGGAACAGCTGAAATGACCATCTCTGCCAAGACATTTTCTAAAAGACATGGAGCACCAAAGCTAGTTCCCTTCTTCATTGTCTCAGCCAAGGCTGCTAGTACCTTCAGGTAAGGTTTATTTCAGGATTACTTCAATCACAATTAACAGCAATAGGTAACTGACATTGTTAATTTGGATGCTGAGACAGGAAGAAAGGGATTTTGCCTCGACTGAAAAGCATAAGTGGCACTGTATGGAAAAGGAATTTTAAGAAGTCATTATTTGAGACAGTGATCGCTTATGAAGAACTATGCCTGCCTATTCTTTTGCACACCAGGCCCCACGCCCCACGCCCGAAAAAAGAGCAGGTTCCCTTAGCTAACTGATAACCAGCATAAAACTCGTCAGACACAATAGGAACATGAAGCTGAAGTATATTCGTGTAGATATTAGGACAACTCAACTCGATTTAACTCAATAAAGCTTTGTCCCAATATTTTTTAAGTTGGCCATAGCACAATGGCGAAACAAGATTTATGTAGCCGATTCCGAAAATATTGGCAAAATGCTTTGTTGAGTAGAGTATCGTTTGAGAATGTGAAAAAAAATATGTCAAAAAAGACAAATTTCTGTGAAAGAAATGCATAAAAAGGGATACAAAAATAACAGATCCCTTCAGAAAGAGACAGGCATAAAAAGAAGAAGGAAAACAGTAACTTTTCAAACATGTTTACTGTTGTCAAATGCTCGAACTTTGAGTATCATGATTGGCCATAGATGCACAACATTCATGGATATTACAAGCTTAAATATAGTAAAAACATGGACAAGGAATAGAACCTCATCATCTGCATGACCGATTATTGCTGGACCCCATGAACCAACATAGTCAATGTACTCATTACCATCTATGTCCCGCATGCGACATCCCTTGACAGAATCCATTATAATGGGCTGCCCACCAACTGATTTGAAAGCACGTACAGGGGAGTTTACACCTCCAGGCGTCAATTCCTGCCAACATTCTTACATGAGTTAGTAATAAATGAATTTGAAACAAATTTGTTATATTTTCAAATAACTGCATGAAAGCAGAGATTACATTGCAAGTTAACAAAAACAAGTTGAACCCAGTTAAGTTCTTGGTATAAATCTAAATAAAAGCACTCGTAGTTCACATAGGTCATAGTAGCTGGTGAAGTAACAATCATGTACCTTACTTCCATGACCTGAATTTCACGTTTTGATATAGAAGTGTGATGCTTCCAGAACTTAATTAAGCCTATCCAAGTTCTTTCCATATCTTTCTAAAAGCTGAGAGAATCAGAACCAATTCAAAATTATCCGTCATCTGTCCATCCTTTCCATAAAGGACGGTTTGAACTTAGAACTTTTAACCATGTTTACCATTCACTTGTAAAACCAATAAATATGACTTTAATAAAAAAATTAATCTGACAATGCAATCATCCTGTTACTATGCATATAGCGGACACTATTGGTCATTTTTGGAGTAAAATTTGAAAATGGGTACATGTCACCCAGCCTCTGAAATCTGAACACAGTAGACCCAGGTAACAATGCAAATCCCTCTAATTCCTCTCTCCCCCCTCATCTTGGTACTAAAATCCATCACCCCATTATTGGTCCTACCAGTGAGCAAGATCCTCTGGTAAACTGTCTTCAAGTGCAACTGACATAAGCAAGGAAGCTCCTTAGCAAGGCCGCTTGAGCTTTAGAGGAAGGAAGATAGGGTTGGTCAATGATTTTACACTTAAACACCTACTTAATTAATCTGGCCATGGTTTAATTTGTGGTTGAATGATCGAAGGAGCGATCTATAGATGTTTTGGTATTATGCATAAGCATAGAGTTAAGTCATTGAGTACAAATAAGTGAGCGGAGACGCCAAAGGAGAGGGTTATTGTTGGGTCAGTGTCAATGGTCCACCATGACTGTCAGCTGTGGAAGTGAAATCTAATGATGCCACGTCGATTTAATATTTGTTTAAAGGTGTCTATATCAACTTTTGAAAAATTTGTTGGGAAAATTAGCATAATTATACATAATTTTATTTAACAAAATAATATCCAGATCAGAAACTAACAAGAATATGCAAATAAATATAAAATAATAATCAATTTAGAATAGAATAAAATTCATACTATAATTAAAAAGAGCAGGTATGCGACTGCGAGTCTAAGAGTCGTGTGAACACTGTCTTAAAAAAGCTGAGCCTCCCCGCGTGAGGGTACGGATACCAGCGACTCCAAAATCAAACCCAGACGCTCGCAACAGTACCTCCTCAATGGTCACGCCCACTGGAAGGAAGGGATAAACTTGACTCAAATCGAAGTTACCCGAAGTAAACTAATACCAAATATTTGTAGGTATACAAATATAATAATAGGCAAAAAGAAATATATAGAAAGAATAGTAACATTCGGCGAAAGATGAGCATATAGGAAAAATGGTAAAACAACTCATCTTTTACCCAAAACTGTCACCTTGTTTTATAGGCACCATCTTAATTACTCTTGAATAATAGGTTTTAAAATATATTAGTATGTAACCTCCAACCTATTAAGCTTATATCAATTTTATAATTAAATGACATGAACATGCAAGAATTAAATTTCAAAAGTAAAGTTAAAAACTGAAAAATTAATACAAAATAATTAGTTATGTTGTTTTTAAAACTTTTATTTTAATTTATTCTAACAATCTCCCACAAGTTTTGAAAACTTCGAAATGACCCAAATATATTTATAAAAAAGTAATATACAGAAAATATAGACAACTATTATACTGTGCAATGGATGTAGCTGTCTTCCAGACTTGAACCTCACTTAGAGTTAACAGTCTCCCCTTGAAGAATCATAGTGACCAAAGGCTTGAACTAGACCCTTTGAGCCAGAGTTCAACTATTACACACAGTACTAATATTTGTCAGGATTCGCGGGTCAGTGCGTTTAATGGTCATGCACTTAATCTTGATTCTCATGAGAGTTTCTAGAGAATAACCCAATTTTCATAGTCGCGGCCTTACAACTACTCTCAGTTAGGTGAGGCCTCCAAGGGTACATGTGCATAATATCCCGCAGGAGTGTTCCTGCCTCAAACTCATTCAGGAAAAAATCTTTCCTTACCGTCACACTACATATGCACCTCTGCCATAGGAATAAGCATAAAAATATATCTTCTTACGCTATTTTTTCAACAACGGTGCTAATGAGTCACGCAGTATGGATTGTTTCTACTTATTGAACTTCCTTCATGAGGTCCCCAATCACCAAAGTTGAGTTACCTCCCTAGGTAACTCCCTTAGGGGCTTAAGCACATCCCCCTCGACAGTTCTTGAGACAGCTTTTCTCAAAAGCAAGACTTTCCTCGAAAGCTCACAAATCAAATTAATCAGTCTTTATAAATTTGTGTCTCATAGCTTTCATCAAAAGCTTTTTAATTCATTCGCCAGCTCTGTTTAGCTGAGATTTTACAAATTTTAAAATAGTTACTCTTCACATGTTTGCATCTCACTGGGTGTGCACACTTTCATATCTTCTCATTGATATTGATTTGACCTATCTTCAAATAGTTCTCACGAACAACACATTAAAATGCATTTGTTTGAAAAACCCTTAGATATGAAACAATTTATATAAACATCTCTCCAAATGAGAGATTATAATAACATTAAGCAAATTCAGCAAGTCCTCCATATATATTTTATTACCTTAAAATTTACCCCCACATTTCCAAGAATTCTCATGCTAAAGTGATTTATACTTCATAAAAGTAGCATTTTCATCAACCCCCATATTGCAAGAGTATCTAGCCCAACGTTTGACACATTTCACATATTCAACAAATTGAATTCAAGGGAAAAGGTAAACTCGAGGCTTGCATATATACAAAACACAAAAATTTCTCAATTTAGTTATTATAAAACTCATGCTTAATTTTGCTAGTGGTCGCCTCTTGTTCATTTGTTGGACTATTGGTTTACTCAATGCTATCTTGACCATACCAAAATTGGCACACCCATTCCATCCCAACATCTCAAAGGATAATTTAAATACACTTCAACTTATCTCAAAAATTTTCTTTTTCAATAAAAGTGTTCTTTTCTAAACAGCCTATCAAAATAATATAACTGAAAAACTTTTTGTATTAGACCAAACGATATCAACATCCCCATTCTAATCTAATCATCCACACCAAAAGTCATTGTGTTGTAAGTATTAAAATCCGTACCTATCACAGGAACGACTCAATAACGTTAACTCAAAATGCCATTGTACAATCAATAGCAAATATATATATCACCAATGACCAATCACATACTCGCTATACTTGAAAATAAAATGCTAAATATATAGTCGAACGTATAGATGATTTAGGTGTCAACTTGGTCAAAAGTTGGAATCTAAATGCTAGTTAGTGTTGAATTTTTTTTTTTTTAAAATGATCACAAACTGCCTAAGATCCCACTCACTAATGTAATTTAGTTATCACTCATGCAATGAAGTTTGTACCCAATAATTTCAAGCATAATATCTGTAGTAAAAGTAAAGGTGTTCTACATTCACAATAAAACTAAGGATAACCACCGATTNTTTAGTTATCACTCATGCAATAAAGTTTGTACCCAATAATTTCAAGCATAATATCTGTAGTAAAAGTAAAGGTGTTCTACATTCACAATAAAACTAAGGATAACCACCGATTGATTTGAGATTTAATATCTGAAATTTCAATCAGCAAATAACTATTAGGCCCCCACTAATTTNAAAATGATCACAAACTGCCTAAGATCCCACTCACTAATGTAATTTAGTTATCACTCATGCAATGAAGTTTGTACCCAATAATTTCAAGCATAATATCTGTAGTAAAAGTAAAGGTGTTCTACATTCACAATAAAACTAAGGATAACCACCGATTGATTTGAGATTTAATATCTGAAATTTCAATCAGCAAATAACTATTAGGCCCCCACTAATTTTGAAATAATATTAGAGGCATAGGCTACTTGAATTTAATGAGATGAATAAAACAGTTTGTATGGTAAGAAATCTAATGGTGGACTAATAGTCAAAAACCTTGAAGGAAGTTTATACCTCATAATTATACACAACTGATATTCACATGAATCATGTATATTAAAGTACTTAAATGAATATAATAAATATATGCCAACCAACAGCTCATATGNGGCATAGGCTACTTGAATTTAGTGAGATGAATAAAACAGTTTGTATGGTAAGAAATCTAATGGTGGACTAATAGTCAAAAACCTTGAAGGAAGTTTATACCTCATAATTATACACAACTGATATTCACATGAATCATGTATATTAAAGTACTTAAATGAATATAATAAATATATGCCAACCAACAGCTCATATGAAATAAACAGGCAAATAAACAATTACAACATAGATCATCCTATAGACATTGAGCATTAAAACCAACTGACCGTTACTTTGCATTCAATATTCCTGAATTATACCTTCAAATAACTGATGGCTGCTATATAATATTTTTAAGGAATTATGCACAATGTGGACTTCACTGTTAAATTACTACATGAANCAGGAATTTTCCCGCCAGTTTTCACTTTCAGATTGACAATTACTGAAATGGGAAGCTGTGGTGCTTAGGACTTTTTGTGATATTGGGTAATGAATAGCAAGATATTTACTGTACGATTTTTTTTTTTTTGGTTTAAGTATGCAAAGATGTCTTACTTGTGTTCACTAAGGGACCTGTNTTCTCCTTGACAACTCTTTCAGTAAATGGGTTCCAACCTATAGGACCATGCAAAACCCCAACTTGAGTTTTAACAGATTTAAGTAATTAATATTTCGACAGGTCCATAAATTTGAACAAATACTTTCCTTCAAATTTCTCTCATGTTATCCACGAATTCACAACCACAACTA